ATATGTATACATTTATATAGAGATAGATAAATATTTATGTGTACACACACACACATATATACTTATATATATACATATATATATATGAGTGTGTGTGCGTTGATATATATGTATATATATATATATATATATATATATATATATATATATATATACATATATATATATAAATATACATATATACATATATTGGAGACTTGCCAATGTTACACCTTTATACAAGAACGTCAACACACAAACACTTTTAATTATAGACCAGTTTCGTTAACTAGTGTGGCGTGCATGCTGTTAGAAAGGATAATTAAGAAACAGTGGGTTAAAATATTTGAAAAACAAGATATGATATCAAATAAATACTTTGGTTTTAGGGAATGGAAGCCCATGCGTAGGAAATCTCCCCTGTTTCTATGATAAAGTTTTTGAAATATTACAGGAAAGAGACGGCTGGGTGGATTGTGTATATTTAGACTTTAAGAAGGCATTTGATAAGGTGTTTCATAAAAGACTTAGATTTAGAAATTAGAACACCTAGGTGGAGTGAAAGGCAAACTCCTCGAATGGATGGAAAACTTTCATGAAAGACAGATAAGAATCGTAATTAGAGGGAAGCACTCTACATGGCGACGAGTAACTAGTGGAGTACCTCAAGGATCGGTCTTAGCGCCGATTATGCTTACTGTTTTCATATATTATTTAGAGTCAAACAGGTAGTTAGGGTCAAACAGGGTCAAACAAGTAGTTAGGGTCAAACAGGTAGTTAGGGTCAAACAGGTAGTTATCTGAATATGCTTGCAGAGGACGCGAAATTGCATAAAAGGATGATAGACAATTATCAGACCAATACCTCCGAAGTGACATCGAAAACTTATTCATTTGGAATTGCACATGGAAAATGGAATTTAATACCAATAAACGCCATGTAGTCAGGTTCGTACAAAGTAAAAATCGTTCACTATACCATTGCAAATTAGGAGACGTAATATTAAACCAAGCAGATAAAGAAAAAGACTTTGGAATAATCATAAACAGGAAACAAAGCTCAAACGACCATATAAATGACAAGGTTCATAAAATGCTAGGGCTGATTGCCAACATGAAGAGGGCATTCGTGTATGTGGACGAATACGTGGTAAAGAAGATCATTATAGCCATCATAACACCTAGTCTCGAGTCCATACTTAAAAAGGGATATAGATAAACTAAATAGAGTTCAATGATGGGCACCTATTCTAAGATATATGGGCTACGATGAAAGACTACAAAAATAAGTCTTCCTACTTTGGAAAAAAGTAGAAAAGGTGACGTGATAATGATGTTCAACTATATTACAGGAAGGGTGAATTTAGACAAAGATGACTTTAGAATTTTGAAGACAAGAAGGACGAGAGGACACAGCAAAACGTTGAAAGCAAAAAGAGGCAACGAGGATGTCAAGAGGTTCAGTTTCCCAAACAGAACTATTGAAACAAAACGTTGAAAGCAAAAAGAGGCAACGAGGATGTCAAGAGGTTCAGTTTCCCAAACAGAACTATTGAAACATGGAACAACCTTGCAAATACCGTTGTGTGTGCCAATTTAAAAAGTTATATGATAATTTAAATATAGCAGACGGGCTTAGACACACATATATGTATATGTATATATATATATATATATATATATATATATATATATATATATATTATATATATATATTATATATATATATATATATATATATATATATATATTTAATATACATGTATATATATGTATATATATGTACATATATGTATACACACACACTCACACCTATATATATATATATATATATATATATATATATATATATATATATATATATATGTGTGTGTGTGTGTGTGTGTGTGTGTGTGTGTGTGTGTGTGTGTGTGTGTGTGTGTGTATGTGTGTGTGTGTGTGTGTGTGTACATATATTCACATATATATATACATATATCCATATTCACACACACACACACACACACACACACACACACACACACACACACACACACACACACACACATGTATATGTATATGTATATATATGTAAATGATATATATTTATGTATATATTATTTAATGTATATATGTGTGTATGTATGTAAACACCCACGCACTCGTATGTGTTTACATGTGTATGTATGACGAGTGTACCGTACTGCTTACATGTTTGAGTAAAATAAAATTATATACATTTTTTTCAGAAAAAGACAGACATAGCCTAATGCGCACTGATGATATTTTGTGTAGAGTGAAAATGAAAAACTAATTGCATATATATGTGAATGTATCATATATATTTACATTTGAAAAAAAAACGCAGTATTGTATCGCTGTATCTTTCATCTCTCAAAATAATCACCAACTCCAAATACAAACCAAATAAAAATATATCACTTAGTACATCAAATATGCCGAATAACATATTTCAAAATATCTCAAAATTATAAATAAAACTGTTAAAAGAAATAAAACAAGCGTTGCGCATCTCGACCTTCACTTATCAGTTGTTTTGGTGGGGACGGCGGCGCAGGTCGGTCCTTCTTTCGCATCGGCCCTGCAGTGTGTGAGTGTCCGCGGTCGTCTACTTTCATCTTCCCAAATCTCTTTCATCCGACGATTCTCCTGGTTTTCAATATGTTCATGTGTAAGATAGAGGATTGATGTTGGAGGTCGAGATGAGAGAGTAGGCGTATTTTGTAGAGATAAGGGAAGAGTTTTGTGTGAATATAAAAGAGTCGTGTTGAATGTTTTGGCATTACGTTTTCATGGAAGTAACTTTATTTATATTTTCTCTCCGTTCCTTTCCAGCCTTGAGCACGAACGCGGCCCGCAACAGCCAAGATGTTGATGCCCAAAGCAAACCGAGTAGCCATCTACGAATACCTCTTCAAAGGTAAATTTTATAACACGTGATATTTTCCGTAAAGCACATTTTTACTTAGAGCACATATTTTTATATTCTTTCTGGTCTTGCATGGATGAAACCGCTTTTATAGGAATTTTCACTATATTTTTCCTTCTCGTCTCTTAGTTAATATTTATTGGTAGTTTTAATGGTACTTTCACTCGGTGCTCGCCACGTGAAAGACTTGGTCATTAATTCGTAAAGTTGGTTTTGGGTCTTTTCGTATTTTCGTAAATGGGCATCGTGCGTGCGTTTTCCACCTTTTGGCTTGTATCGCCTTAGTCGACTGTGTGCCAAGTACCGAACAGTGAGAGATCTATTATGAATACTTGATGATTCCCTGTCTGGTTACGTTTCATCTCTACCATGTGAGACTACAAGTGCACAGTAGTTGTTGAAATGTGGATGATTGTTATCGAGCACTATGTACTGATACAGGGAAATGATAATGCCATCTTGTAGAGTACAAGATATGTTTAAAATTAAAACACTGGTACAGCTGGTCTGGCCTCGTAATTACCATGAAATAGGGAAATGTATGTTTGCAAGTTACTGCTCAGAGACAAGATACACAATTCCCTCACACAGCTAGTGTTCTCAGTGTTTTTTCTGTAAGTTGGCAGTGATAATGAAGGCAGGATATGGTGCGTTGCCTGTGTTTTAAAACAGGCTTTCCATACATTTTGTGAATATATGGCTTAGTAAAGGGTGTCCATACCCATGATCCTTTTGATGTGCAGTTTGCATATCAGCTGTTGGTATGATGGAATCAGTTATATTAAATGTATTGGGTAATTATCCTTTCTGCCCGTAGTCAGTGTTGAGCACTACTGCCATGATTTCAGTGAGATACCACAGTTCACAGGAGGGAAAGGGGAAAGCTGGTGGTGAGACCCTCTCTTAACCCCTTGCCGCCGGGTGACGGCGATACGCGTGTAAACAAATCGCTTCAAAGGTGGCGTGCGGCCAAACCAGCCGGCGGCGCGCCAAAGCGCGGCGAGCCAGTGATTCGGGCTGACGCCCCGTACTCCGGCGCTCAAAGTCGGCGCGCTGCCTTTATTTGCCAGAGCGTAGAGTTCCATTAGTACACCCGGCGTCATTGGGTTAATTCACGTGCTTTATTTTTCATGCTCTTAGTCAAAATGAAAGCAATGCTTGTAAATCATGAAAGGATTCTACAAAGACTGGAGCAATATGTAGTCCCATTCAATCTGAATACTATAGGTCTGTCCAGGTTATACATGGGCCTCAGGATAGTTCCAGTTCATATTGCTTGTGACTTCTATACAAACCTGAATTCCATGTTTGCCGAAGGCTGCTGGCAAGCCTACAATTTTTTCTAATTGGGTGGATGGTGTTACTATTATCGGGTCTCCTTTGTTTTGGTCTTCGCAAGGTAAATGGTGACTTGGTCTTGGAACGGTGCCATGCAGACAATTTTTCGTTTCCCAGTAAATACGAGGCTGTTGTATTACTTCCTATTTTTTATGCGCTCAAGATGGCAGTGTCCATTTTCCTCTATCTGTGGGTTGCTCTTGGTAACATAACTGGCTTGAGTATTAAGGACACTCAGATGGGTGCAGTTGCTTTGTAAACAAAGCCCCCATATACTTGTAGGCAAAGTATACTTTGCAAGATCAGTGATTAAAGTTAATCTTGGAGAGAACTCATAAAGAAATTGACTAAGATGTATTGCAGAAAATGCCAGAACCAAGTCCACATGTACCTCCTAGGACTTGGTCCAGCCTTGTCTTGCTTTGCCTTGAATAAATTTATGGTAACCCTACATAAACCGTGCATGGTCAATCATTGTCTAGAATTGTCTTAAGAATTTCTACTTTTGGTGTAATGTTTTACCACCTTCATATCCATTAAATGTATTCTTGTTGTGCACTGTACATTAAATATGCTTCTAATTAGAAACTTTAGTAAAATTTAACATTGTCAAATTGACTAGTGGTACTAGTTGTCTGAATTTTCATAGTACTTAATGTTACATGGTTTATTTAACTTACCAGGAAGTTTATACATTTTCGTTCTCGGCGGACAAATGCTGAACCCTTTTTGAGACCCTTTTTAAAATGGGATTGGAAGCCTTTTAAACTTTTAAAATTTACTTGCAGTGTATTTTATGAATCTGATTTTCAACATAAATGACCAGTTCAGGAAAGAAGTGAAAGTATTGAATAATTTTGGGGAGTGATCCCCACCCCAAGTACTCTAGCCAACATCTTCAAGGGGCACTCCTGATTAGTGGACTTGGTGACTGCATTGCATTTGTTGCAACATATTTTATTTGCCTGTACAGTTTGTACTTGGTTTGTTTTCCATCTGACGGTCATTTCTCCCCCATCTTGGCTGTCATTGTTAATTTATAAACAAATATTAGAGGAATTAAGCAGAAATACAACTAGTTTGATGGTTAAGCAATTAGTGGACTGGTCATTTAGCTATGCACCAAGGGAAGTGCTTATGGGTACTATCTTGTCCTGTCCTGTCCCCCCCCCCCCAGAGGTGCCACAATTCTCATTGTAGCATGGTTCAACCAACCTGGTGTCAATTACTTCAGCTTCAGTATCCTCTCTATCCTATTGTAATGGCATGCCTAAATACTTGGGTTCATGCTGAGCATATGACCTCTTCGACTAAAAGCTTGGAAGAGGTGTTGCCTATTTAGTAATCGGCAATATGTACAGCAGTGACTGTTTTACAACAATCTTTGTGGTAGGAAAATTATATAAATTTAATGTATCAAACTGACGTTTTGGTAGTTTGTGAATGTTATTTCCTTGTTTAGGATTAACACTTGCCACAGTGTGGTGTTTTGATAATTTGTAAATAACCCTCCCTTTTGATGCTTTACTGCCATCAAAAAGGGTAATTGGGCTTACTTGCCAGCTTTTTTGCCATTTTCTGATGGTTGTCATTTGATTTGCCTTTTCTGGATTGATATACTATTTTCCTTGCACATCGTTTTTTTTTTTTGGGGGGGGGGGGGATTCCATAACTCTGCAATATTAATTAAGTCCCCCCCCCCCCCATGATACTCAATTCTGTATTACAACCTGTGCTGCAAGGCATACCAAATTTTCCTATGATTACATTCATATTCTCTAATTTGTCATGTCATCTGGTTTGCAGGAGTTAATATTGTTAATCCTATTCCTTGCATTTTCTGAATTATACTGATATTCTATATCTTTATTTTTTACCAATGTATGTTTAGTAAATCCATGATCTTGAATCATGTTTACTATTCCAGAACTATTGTAATCTAGTTTCTTTAGACTTAAGACAAGTTTGTTGACCAGCCAATGAGGATAGCAGGTTTTATTTATTCCAGAGGGTGTAATGGTAGCTGAGTGTGATCTCTTCCTGCCCAAACATCCTGCTTTGGAGAAGAGTATTCCAAACCTTCATGTCATTAAGGCTCTCCAGGTAAGAACTTCATTAGTTCAAGTAGAAAGTTATGAGTGAGTAGTGATTAAAGAGTAACCTTTTTTTTCATTTATTACAATTGTATTACTTAAAGCCAGCAGGTGGCAAAGATAAGGGTTCAGGTCTTTAAGGATTTAGGCTTATTATTGTGCATTCAGTTCCTCGGACCTCAAGAATTCGTTGTATTCCTCTGTTTACATAGAACATGAAATTCATCTTTTGGTGCATTAGTTTTCCTGATGTTACTTAATAATCTAATGGGATTCCAGAGTTTGAAGTCCCGTGGCTATGTAGAGCAGAACTTTGCTTGGCGCCACTACTACTGGAGGCTCACCAATGAGGGTATCCAGTACCTGCGAGAGTATCTCCACCTTCCCTCTGAGGTAAGGATTTATTTGCTATATAAAGTGCAATTAGCCTGCCAAGCTGTGTACTTGGTTTGATTTGTTTGGCCAATACTGCAGGTTTTTTATAGCTACAATCTCATAAGCAAGCATAAGCTTTTAGCATTGTTCATGGAAAATTCTGTAGCTTAAATGGTTGTACAGGAAACTTTTCCCAAGTCCATTATTATTCATGAAGTGCTTATCAGCATAGTTCAGCTAATAGTAACTTGAACATTAAAATTTGGGAGTCTGTAACTAATCCAGTAAATCTACATTTATTTAATAGATTGTGCCAGCGACACTGAAGAAGCCAACAAGGCCTGAAGGTAGGCCCAGGCCCATTCACCCACGTCCTGAGGGTCCACGCAGTGAAGGTTCCAGGGAAGCATACAGGAGAGCTCCCCCAGGTGCCGACAAGACTGGTGATGCTGGTGCAGGATCTGCTTCAATGGAATTCGTGAGTATAGTATTGTTAGTTTACAGAAAGATCTTCCTATATGCAGTGTAGTAGTTGTACATGTACAAAAAAAAATTCTGGGAATAACCTATTGTGAATTAATGTTTTTCCCCATCATATGCAAAATGTTAATAGTATTCATTTATTTTCAGCGTGCTGGTTTTGGCCGTGGCAAGAAAACTCAGTAAAATGTAAAGTAATAAAGCGAGAAAGAGACGCTGGCTTTTTATTTTTTTCCTCCCTTATTATTAGGCAAACAAGACCAATAATTTAAAAAGGAGCATGAATGGAATTCCATCATACCAAACAATGGTAGCATGGCCAAATTTCATGCAAAATTATCTGTATAGTGTAAGTTCGATATCCTCCTAATGGGTGTTTGAACTGACACTATTCTACAAACCTGAGACTTAGAACAATTGTCATTCTAGTTGTCATTGGTACAAATTTTATTAGTTGACTAGTAAATCTTTTTATCTAAAGTTTGTGAAATTTTATTTAGTGCTATAATTGAATGCAAGAGTGTAAAGAGTAGAAATATGAATTTTCAACTGATCTGCAAGGGTAGGAGAAATTGAAGTAAATTTGGGGTAAAGATACATTTGAATATTAAAAGTAGCAAATTTAGCTTCACCAAATTTGACATGGAGTACAGTTGTATGTGTGGCAGTGCGCTAAAGCACATAGAACAGGTAGTTCTGCTACATGTAGCAAACTCCTGTGCCCAGCATCTAGACATTGCTAGAAATGTTAGACCCATCAGATTTATTTATTTTTATTATTTATTTTTTTTTACACCTGTTACTGAGGGGTTAAAATTCTACACAATCTTTAAATTGTCACTTGAAATTCTCCCTCCCCACATTCCCCCTATCCCAATGCAAAGCCTGTGCTGAAATTGGCTGATATTTAGGCCAGCATGCAGGAAAGGGCTAGAATGAAGTAATTTCTACTTTGAAGTGTACCAAAATTCCCTACAAGTCAAGATCTTGGGTTGAAAGGTGTTGCTGCCAAATGTTTTCTGAAAATCTACTTGCTCTTTGAGCATATGTACCTGTGCTTTGGCTACGACTTCAAGATGCCCAGTAGCTGGAAGTGGAGACATGCCACAAGAAACGAAACCCGTTTGTAGCCACCCGAGAAGATGAACGGTGGAATTCAGGTATTATTAACTTGAATTTCTATTCCCATTTGAAAACTGCTTTACAATAGAAAAATGTAGGCATGAATGGAATTCCATTCTTACATGTGTAGTAGTATGGCCAAAATTCATGCAAAATTAGATGTACAGATGCAAGTAAATTTTCCACTTTGGAAAATGACCGTTGACATTGTCCTACAGTCATTCTTTAAATTTATAGTTTGATATAAAAGTTGTTTCATGAAATTGATAAAATACTATCCTTTTTAACTTCAGCTATGAACAAGATTGCCCTGAAAAAATGCATATTGCTTGTTACTGGAAGCCAACGGTCAAGAGGTCCCAAGTTTTACGGTGCAAGATTGTTTGTAAAATTGCTTTAAAGGTGAGATGATAGTAAGAAATGTCATTCCTTGTTATAAACACAAGTTTAAGGTAGTAGGGCAAGGAGAGAGTAGGTATGTGTTTGACCTGATCACGTACACCATTACAAAAAAACTGCTTGGTCTATGGGATACACCTGTACATGCGGTGACATGCTAGAGTGGGGGGAGTGGGATATTCCGCTTGATGTGGCACTCTCTCCTACCCAGTGTCTGGCCATTGCCAGAAATAACAGAAGTTTATCATGCTCAGGGATTTGTTTACCTGGTAGTGATGTATTAATGCATGATTGATTGGAGCGCTTGTATGCAACTATCAACTGTGCATACACTTGAGTAATTTTTCACATGCCATAGTTATGGCAGCCATTGGCTTGAAATGGGAAGACTTAAATTTACCCTCTTCCATACCCTTTGTGTTCCAGGACACAAGGCTAATTAACTTTGAATGGGCAGTAACTTGTCAGCAACATTTGGCTAAACCATTGTCCAGCATTAAAGCTTGGCTCATCATGGCTAGAAAGTCCTTTCCTTAGTAGGGTCAGTAATGCTGTTTGGAACAATCTTGCTCAGACAACTTGTCAGGCCCATCAGGATAATGAGGCTGTGTTCAGAAACTCCCAAACTCTTCCTTAATCCATCACAACTACTCTGTAGATTAATGGCAACAAGCCAACTTTGAGTGCGGGAGTTTGTTACATCGAGTGGGGCATTCGACTCAGTTCTTTGAAACGTCGCTGCAGCACATAGCCGCACTCTGCAGACTGAGCAATTTTTTAATGACACGGTGTGACCTGGCAGTATCAGGTCTAATATAGACATTCATTATACTAGTTCCTGCACAGTCTTTATAACTTCAGATACATAGGTAACTTATCTGCAACTGAAATTTTGGTGGGCCATATAATTTCCCATCAACTCAATATTTATATAGTACTGCAATTACCTTCCCAATGCCCACTCCCCCTTCTCTCTTGTTTAACCCATTCGCGCCGGGTAAAAATGAACAAAAAATGGGGGGAAAATACTGTGCTCATTTATTATATTAATGAAATTTCTCTACACTAGATGGTTCTGCCTTACCTGATTTTACCTTTACTTGAATTGGTGGGAAAATGTATTTTTACTAGTGTTACGAATATCAATGGTTATTTTTATTATAAACATAATTACTGTTATAAACATTAACATCAAATTAAGATAACGCAAAATAATTGCATAAATTAAAGAAAGGGTAAACAGGTGAGACAGGCAGTACAAGTGTAGCCATCTGTGTGAAAACAATTATACAAGTAAACTCTGTGAGCCTGTCACGTATACGTGACGCCCGGCGCGAATGAGTTAAGACAACCTAAAGTAAAGCTCCTGAGTGAAAGAAAATGCCCTTACCCATATTTAGGGGTCATTTACCTTTGGCCACTTATGTTGCATCAATGTCATGCATAGTTGCACTAAATTGTTGCTTATTTCTCTCCGACTATGGTTATTGAGGAGATACAGGTCTCTTTAGTCTTATTTTCTTCAAGCCTAAATCATTGATTGAATGATCATGGTCCCAATTTTACCTTGAGGCTAATTGGGCATGAAGCCTGGCATGGTATGAGGAGCCATGTGATTTAATTTACTAGTTTTACCTCATTGAAAATGAAAATAGGATATATGTATTAGGGATTGAATTGCACAGAAAAAGGCTTGTGTAAAGAATTAGGTTGTTTCATTAGCCCCCATAGTTCTGTAGCTGTGTGGTGTTGCAGGTAACGTTCTGTAACCTGCACATCTCTGGGGCTTTCAAAACTAACCTAGATAAATGTCCATTATCATAGTGCAACTTAACCATGTGGTTTAGTTGTCTCCCAAACCTGGAACAAGGCTTTAAAATTAAGATTTAGTAACATTAGAAACCAAGTTACATATCTGGTAGATTTCTTATTCAAGAGTGTTGATCACATGCCATAGTTATGGCAGCCATTGGCTTGAAATGGGAAGACTTAAATTTACCCTCTTCCATACCCTTTGTGTTCCAGGACACAAGGCTAATTAACTTTGAATGGGCAGTAACTTGTCAGCAACATTTGGCTAAACCATTGTCCAGCATTAAAGCTTGGCTCATCATGGCTAGAAAGTCCTTTCCTTAGTAGGGTCAGTAATGCTGTTTGGAACAATCTTGCTCAGACAACTTGTCAGGCCCATCAGGATAATGAGGCTGTGTTCAGAAACTCCCAAACTCTTCCTTAATCCATCACAACTACTCTGTAGATTAATGGCAACAAGCCAACTTTGAGTGCGGGAGTTTGTTACATCGAGTGGGGCATTCGACTCAGTTCTTTGAAACGTCGCTGCAGCACATAGCCGCACTCTGCAGACTGAGCAATTTTTTAATGACACGGTGTGACCTGGCAGTATCAGGTCTAATATAGACATTCATTATACTAGTTCCTGCACAGTCTTTATAACTTCAGATACATAGGTAACTTATCTGCAACTGAAATTTTGGTGGGCCATATAATTTCCCATCAACTCAATATTTATATAGTACTGCAATTACCTTCCCAATGCCCACTCCCCCTTCTCTCTTGTTTAACCCATTCGCGCCGGGTAAAAATGAACAAAAAATGGGGGGAAAATACTGTGCTCATTTATTATATTAATGAAATTTCTCTACACTAGATGGTTCTGCCTTACCTGATTTTACCTTTACTTGAATTGGTGGGAAAATGTATTTTTACTAGTGTTACGAATATCAATGGTTATTTTTATTATAAACATAATTACTGTTATAAACATTAACATCAAATTAAGATAACGCAAAATAATTGCATAAATTAAAGAAAGGGTAAACAGGTGAGACAGGCAGTACAAGTGTAGCCATCTGTGTGAAAACAATTATACAAGTAAACTCTGTGAGCCTGTCACGTATACGTGACGCCCGGCGCGAATGAGTTAAGACAACCTAAAGTAAAGCTCCTGAGTGAAAGAAAATGCCCTTACCCATATTTAGGGGTCATTTACCTTTGGCCACTTATGTTGCATCAATGTCATGCATAGTTGCACTAAATTGTTGCTTATTTCTCTCCGACTATGGTTATTGAGGAGATACAGGTCTCTTTAGTCTTATTTTCTTCAAGCCTAAATCATTGATTGAATGATCATGGTCCCAATTTTACCTTGAGGCTAATTGGGCATGAAGCCTGGCATGGTATGAGGAGCCATGTGATTTAATTTACTAGTTTTACCTCATTGAAAATGAAAATAGGATATATGTATTAGGGATTGAATTGCACAGAAAAAGGCTTGTGTAAAGAATTAGGTTGTTTCATTAGCCCCCATAGTTCTGTAGCTGTGTGGTGTTGCAGGTAACGTTCTGTAACCTGCACATCTCTGGGGCTTTCAAAACTAACCTAGATAAATGTCCATTATCATAGTGCAACTTAACCATGTGGTTTAGTTGTCTCCCAAACCTGGAACAAGGCTTTAAAATTAAGATTTAGTAACATTAGAAACCAAGTTACATATCTGGTAGATTTCTTATTCAAGAGTGTTGATTTATAGAATTTATACTAAAATTCAAGTTCTTGCTTATGGTTAAAAAGTTGGCTAATGAAAATAATGCATACACAAAACTGAAGATAAACCATTACTCAATTTTGTAATGCAAATACACAAGTATTAAAGCCTGATTGCCAATTAATAATTATCCTCTAATTCAAGTAGATATTATGGTGGTATTGATTCGTATTTCTTCTCAGGATGATCGGAAAAAGGCCAACTAAAGTGGATAAAGATCTTCCAGGCTCTTTTAATGAAGGTAAGTTTTATATACAACTTTATATTTTTGTTTACCACTTTTTCTCATCTATCCATCCTCTTGACACATTACTTGTGGTGAATAGGGTTTGAGTTCCATGTCTATCAGTTAATGCAGATAGAGCCTTTAGAGTTAAAGATGATAATCACTCAATTTGGTTGGTTTTTCTGCTTCCATGGTGACAAGCCATGTGTCATTGTTGGTAATGTTCTATTACTTTCATGACTTTGTGGCCCCATAACCAACCTAGATCAGTACCACATCATAGTGCTATCTTACCTTTTTGGTTTGATAGTCTCCCAAACCTGGGACATGTATTTATTAACAAATATAGTATTAAGAATTATAGATTGGAAATATAAAATTTTATTAAATTACCAAGATGTTGGCAGGGATGGTGGAATTCAAATCTTTGATTTATACATTTATACATTTAAGCAATTCCTTTTTCAGACTTGAAGCATAGACCTCTAACCCTTTGAAGGTGTTCATAATGAACTGAGAGGGTCACTAGGTCTACTCTCAAGAGGGCCAGATTTATAAATGTATTGGAAATATCCATGAACCAATGCTACCTCCCAAGCTAATGATATGGCTGAAGGTAGGTTCTCAACAATTCTTTCCTGATGAAGCTGTGGTAAACTGTTCAAATGCACTTGTCATATTGGTAGCAGCATACAAAAATGACTTATTTGCAAACTTTCATTGAAGGTTACTTTTCTTATAGTTATTTTACAGCACGGTTAAAAGTCTTGAGTATGGTTGCTCAAGGCTAATCAAAACTGATGCTAGAACAAAAATGTGAAAATTTGGTTATGAACAATGCGTTGTGTATTGGTTTCATCTCGTTTTACATACAATTGAAATGTTACATATTTTTCTTGATTACTGTAAACAATTCTCTTGCTCCCCTCCCCATTACTTAAAAAAATCTAATCCTTCAGTGATGGTTTTGAAATCTCTCGGCTTCATAGTCTCGATTTCTGCCAAACCACCAGCTGCTTGGAGTGGGAGTCTGCTACGTGTATCGGAACTTCCTGCTTGACGTGCCATAGCTTGTCACCATGTGTATAGCTGTTCTCAGCAGATCAAGTTATTTATAGCTGGCATTCAGGAATGCCAGCTTCCTGAATCAAGTTGAGGAATGTCGGAGGTAAGGGCATTTGATCATAAAATATTACCTGGATAATGTGCCAGCTATTGCACATTTTCTGCCAAGTGTACCTGTGCAAGTACACTAAAGGAACATTTACATTGGTTTCATCCATTTTGCTAACAATCATTTATAAATTGTGGAATTAAGATTTAGTTAACCTGTCATCTTGTTCTGAAATTCTAAGGATTTTCTGGAGCACAAGCGTGCCAATTTCTACTACAGTATTTAGAGATTTATATACAAAATATTAGCTGATGACTTTTTTTTTTTAAGCGTGGGCTGTTATGGGTTAGCACAGCCAAATTGAAAGGCTTGAGCATTATTGCTTTTGCCTATATGAAGCTGGTGCTAGAATAAGGAATGTGAAAATTTGGTTATGAACAATGCCTTGTGTGTTGGTTTCATCTCGTTTTACAAACAAAATAAGTGACCAAATTGGTATTTGGCAAGAAACAGGATTGCCAGCTTGCATCAGCAGCTTCTCAATAGATGTTAGCTTGCTTAATATTTAAAGTATTATCATAATGCTTTTGGACCAGCTTTTCAGTGAAATTGACAGCCCAGTCTAATGTATTTAGCTCTAAAAATGTCCAACCCTTTTCATCTACAGAACTAGGCCAAATTATTTACAGGTTCCATAAGCGAGTTGACACTTTTTTGTGATGCAGAATATAGCAGCCAAGTATGACTCTGCCATGAAAGCAAATGTGGGGCTATGAAACCTTTGTGCTACTATGATAACCTACTCGCTGTGGCTTAAGTGATCTTTCTATACAGGAAAATCTTTACTACATCTGGAGACCATGTGGCTCCAGACAAAGTCCATATAGACAGGGCAACAAAAAAAATTAAACATTAGCTTTAGGGGAGGGTCTGCTTGTTGGCTATTTTCAATAATTATGATAATTACATATCTCAATAGGATACCTTTAAATTTTTGTGATCAGACAATAAATAAAATCGCAAAATAATAAAAACCGAAAACAAAAAACCATATTCACAAATGGAAGGAACTAAGATCTTGAAAAAATCTCATACTAACATACCCAAGACTTGTTGCAACATTTGTTGATAGAATTCAAAGTACATTTATATTCCTTGATGTGACAATGTAATAAGATGTAGTTTCTTGTCCAGTAGGTTATGGTAGCAGTGCCTGTGACCGACAAAATGCTAAGGTGAGACCTTTTTATAATTGTAATGTAGACGGTGAAAAATGTACTAGCACTTTGGTTATTAAATGTTTTCATTATAGACATAACTATGTATGCAAGTTACATTGCACCTTTTTAGTCTATACTAACTGGTGTTCTATACCTTGCAAGAATAAATTCAGATTGTTAGCTGCATTCATATATGCATAAGCTGAACATGTCTGATACACTATACATTTCTGCACATCTTGAACACACTGGAAATTTATAATTGAAGTATGTACCTGTTACTAAAATGTAATTGCTGCATTTAATTATATTTACATTAGTTTCTCAATTCAAATTTTTTCAGTGGAAGGGAAATTTGCCAAAGGAACCTGTATTTGAAGATCTCCATTGATGGTGAATTTAAACTCGTGTATCTCCTCCATCAGGACATGGATTATGGTTAGTCTTCAGTAGTATGGAAAGATTCATGTTTGATTCCTATACTTCTAACTACACATTTTAAATATACATGCCTACTTGTAGCTGTGAATCTACAGAATTTCCTCTTCAATCATAGGTATTTGATATGACTGTAGTGGCTGATCAGAGCTTTGCATTTTCCAAAAACTTAGTTCATCACCCCTTTAACATTAGGACCAGTGAAAGAATGACAAACTATCCTTAATTTTAAGACAGTCCTCTTATTATTCTCCTTTAAGTTTATTCTTGGTTTGATGATGATCACTATACCTTACCTACATTGTTTGAAAATCATGAAAAACAATATATCTGATGAAATTATTTTGTAAATGTCTGTTTGTGTGTTACAGATGGAATATTGATATAACTATTCTTACAGGAATTTTAGCTGAAAGGGGTACTTCAAAATGTTGAGTTGCTTACAAGAGGTAAGTTGATGCCAAAAAAAAAAAAAAAAAAAAAAAAAAAAAAATTATGATAATTATTCTAAGTGATGATTCATAGGTATCTGAAATCAATTGCATCTGAAAATATTCTGATGTCAAAACTAGGGCGAACTGATGAACCTACTAAAATCTGTCCACACTTGTGTTGGTATTATTGCTAATTTTTTCTTTTTATCTTACCAGATGTGTTTTCCTGCAGTTTCCCACGAAGGCATGGTGAGCAACCTATATTTTTCTAATTTAAGCTGTCCATCTGTTTACTGATGATTCCAATATTCTGACTAAATGAAGACCATATAAACATCCCATAGCGTTCTGAGGAATTTATTAATTTCCTGAATGCTCAAATTTTGCACTGCATTATACATGTCTACATCTATATTTTTCAGTGCAGTGGCCAACAGTCTGGGATCTGTCATTGGAGAGGGTAGATCTATGGAGAACTTTGGCATTTATAAAGGTAAATATGTAATTTCAGTTCGTACTGTAACTATTAATGATCCCTTAATCATTTCCCCCACCACCTACAGTAACTCTACTGCATTTAAATGATTCATCAGAACATGGTTCCATTGATTTGAATGTGAACTAAGTCATTCCTGCTGTATCATGCTGATTATTTTTTTTAGTGTATGGCTTTTAGAAAATAACTGGGAGCTATTTTTTCATTTGGCTGATAATTGCTTTAACCCTTAGAAGGGGGTGGAAGTGGGTATATTACTATAACAAACGTTTACTACTGGTGCATTTTATCATTTCCCCATGTTATAGCTTTTATTTAGAATGATTAACGTGGGTGATTATTTTATAGAATGTGTGCAAAGTATCTGAAATTTTGATATATCTGAATTGCTTATCAGCTGCAATTTCTGTCAATTAAAACCATTTTAACATCCTATAATTCTGTAAGGTTTGTGAAATACAAAGCTGCATTAAAGTATGCTGTCATTCAGAAATCTTCATAAATTGTCAACTTGTATCCATAAGATTACAAATAATAATGGGAATATTGAAAATAAACCAAAAATAGCCCCTAAAATGTCTGAATACTACAGAGGGATTCTGGGGTATGGGTTTAAGTACATTACCCCCTTATTTTTCCATGTATTGAAGTGTTGATTTATTTCAGGGTTTTCTCCAGCAAACGGGGAAGTCTTCATAAACTTGGGTAAGACTTCTAAATCATAATGAATTTTTAGATTATGGTGTAATGATGTCCATCTGTTTACTGATGATTCCAATATTCTGACTAAATGAAGACCATTTAAACATCCCATAGCGTTCTGAGGAATTTATTAATTTCCTGAATGCTCAAATTTTGCACTGCATTATACATGTCTACATCTATATTTTTCAGTGCAGTGGCCAACAGTCTGGGATCTGTCATTGGAGAGGGTAGATCTATGGAGAACTTTGGCATTTATAAAGGTAAATATGTAATTTCAGTTCGTACTGTAACTATTAATGATCCCTTAATCATTTCCCCCACCACCTACAGTAACTCTACTGCATTTAAATGATTCATCAGAACATGGTTCCATTGATTTGAATGTGAACTAAGTCATTCCTGCTGTATCATGCTGATTTTTTTTATTTTAGTGTATGGCTTTTAGAAAATAACTGGGAGCTATTTTTTCATTTGGCTGATAATTGCTTTAACCCTTAGAAGGGGGTGGGAGTGGGTGTATTACTACAACAAATGTTTACTTATGGTGCATTTTATCATTCATAGGTATCTGAAATCAATTGCATCTGAAATAATTTGATGTCAAAACTAGGGCGAACTGATAAATCTTTTTCATCCCTTTGAACTAGTATTTGTAAAAAGTTGCTAAACTATTTTTCTCTTTTTTACCAGACTGTTTTCCCAGCCGTTTCCTTATGTGGTGAGTAAGCATACATACATATAATATAGTAGCTGTTTTACTGATGACTCCAATAATCTGACTATATGAAGACCCTTAAACATCCCATAGCGTTCTGAGGAGTGTTCTTGAGTAACAGGTGCATTATCTTTGGCATTGCCTTTCACACATTTTTATTTTACAGTGGAGATGGTCTGTAGAATCCGTGGGGAAATTCTCTCAAAAGATAACTAAGGAACTTGCCCGCAGATTCTGATTCAGGAAAAGACATCTTGTGCACAATAAGAATTTGTGCTCATGAATTAAAGAACTTGGGTAAGACTTCTAAATCATATTGAATTTTTAAATTATGGTGTAATGATGATTCTTATCCCTTACCTACATTGTTTGACAAATCATGAAAAGCAACATTTCTGATAAGATAATGGTCTAGTAAATACATCAGGTAGAGATAGAATATTGATTTAACTTTGTTTACAGGTTTTGGCTTGTAATGGGGCTGTACTGCAGCTGGTGACTGTTTAAAGGACAAAGGTAAGTTAGTACTGAAAGTCACCTTTTTGCCACTTGTTATAAAGGATTATTGTGAAAGTATAGATTGTGGTTTGATGATGATTTTTTAACCCTTACCTACATTGTTTGAAGACTCATGAAAAGCAAACTTATCTGATATCAAAGACATTTTTTTAAATGTACTATGTTAATATGTATACAATGCTAATTGCACTTCGTTTACAGGAATGTTGGATTCTAATACTGGATTGCAAGATGGCTAATTGATCTTAGGACAAATAATGGTATGTTACTAATGAAGAAGACTTTTTAGCACTTCTTGTGAATGTGATGATTCATAGGTATCTGAAATCAATTGCATCTGAAATAATTTGATGTCAAAACTAGGGCGAACTGATAAAGCTTTTTCATCCCTCTGAACTAGTATTTGTAACAAGTTGCTAACCTATGTTTCTCTTTTTTACCAGACTGTTTTCCCAGCCTTTTCCTTACGTGGTGAGTAAGCTTACATAAATATAATATAGTAGCTGTTTTACTGATGACTCCAATAATCTGACTATATGAAGACCCTTAAACATCCCATAGCGTTCTGAGGAGTGTTCTTGAGTAACAAGTGCATTATCTTTGGCATTGCCTTTCACACATTTTTATTTTACAGTGGAGATGGACTGTAGAATCCGTGGAGAAATTCTCTCAAGATAACTAAGGAGCTTGCCTGCAGATTCTGATTCAGGAAAAGACCTCTTGTGCACAATAGGAATTTGTGCTCATGAATTAAAGAACTTGGGTAAGACTTTGATTGCAAGTATAATGAACTTGTAGATTATGGTGTGATGATTCTTTTATCCCTTACCTACATTGTTTGAAAAATCATGAAAAGCAATATATTCTGATGTCAAGGACTTAGCTCAAGTATTGTGCTTGGTACAGAGAAGATACTGATTGGAACTTTTTTTTTTTTTTTTTTACAGGGATTCAGCCTCGTAGTAAGAGGAATGCTGCAAGTCGTCGATTGGTTATAGGACAAAGGTAAATAAACACTGAATTGGGCATTTTCCTCACTTGTTATAGATGATGATTCATAGGTATCTGAAATCAATTGCATCTGAAATATTTTGATGCCAAAACTAGGGCGAACTGACAAAATTATTACACCCTTCTAAACTGATATTGGTGGTTTTGTGCTAATCCATTCAATTTTTCCTTTAACAGCATAGCTTCCCAGCTGTATTTCCCCTTGTGGTGAGTAGGCACAAATGAAAAATGCAATTTGTTATATCAAGATCTTATCAACATTACTTAGATTTAAATGTGCATTCAATTGATATGAATCCAGTTTTATTAGCAGCATAGATAGGCACATTACCATGTTGCATGTCTAGACTTGGTAGTATTTACTGCCTAATAGAAATGTTCCACTAGTGTCTATAGAAACAAGTATTGGAAGAATAGTTTATACACATGCACATTTCACTCCTTTTTACAACTAGATAGCAAGATTATCATTACTTTAGTGATTGCTGAAATAGTGTAGCATATAAAGTTTTCTGAAAGTTACAATATAGACTTTACTACCTACATTATTCTAATATTGTATAGTTGTTTGGTGTTTAGACCTACAAGTTTTCTAAGTAGTGAACTCCTTTAAAGCAGAATTGAAAATTAGCTAATGAGTAATAACTGTTGGCATGCATTGATTTTGATGATGATTCATATACCTTACCTACATTGTTTGAAAAGTTGTGAAAAACAATTATATCTGATGTTAAGGGAATTGTCCAGTAAATTTACCTGGTATAGGTAGAATATTAATTGAACATATTTACAGGTGTTGTAAAGACTGATGTACTGCAAGGTGTCTGATTTTAGGACAAAGGTAAGTTTGTATTGAGAAAGGACTTTTATTTGTTTTATAAATGATGATTCATAGGTATCTGAAATTTGCATCTGAAACAATTTGATGCCAAAACTAGGGCGAACTGATAAAACTACTGATGAAAATCCTTCCAAACTAATATTTGTGGGTTTTGCTAATACTTTTTCTTTTTAACCAGATTAGTCCAGACTGAAGTTTCCTCTAGTCCACTTCAAGAATTTTGGGTCTAATAATGCACTGCAAGTTGGCCGATTGATTTTCAGACAAATCTTGCTGTAGGGGGTTCGGGGTGAGTAAACAGAAATATAAATATAATAGTTATCTATTTACTGATGATTCCAAAAGTCTGATTATATGAAGACCCTGAAACATCCCATAGCGTTCTGAGGAATGTTTTTTAGTAAAGAATGGTTTCAGTTTGGCAGTGTTTCATACCATTACTTTTTATTTTTCAGTGCTGAAGATAAACTGTACTGTGGGAAAAATTCATCACACATGAAGGTAGCTAAAAATCCCTTAGTTCATCAAATATTTAATATAAATCTGTTGAATGTATAGATTGTGGTTTGATGATGATTTTTAACCCTTACCTACATTGTTTGAAGACTCGTGAAAAGCAAACATATCTGATATCAAGGAAAATTTTTAAAATGTACTGTTAATATGTATACAATGCTAATTGCACATTCCTTTACAGGGATGTTGGATTCGGATAATGGACTGCAAGTTGGCTGTTTGAGTTTAGTACCAATAATGGTATGTTATTAATGAAGAGGACTTTTTAGCACTTCTTGTGAATGTGATGATTCATAGGTATCTGAAATCAATTGCATCTGAAATTATTTGATGTCAAAACTAGGGCGAACTGATCAAACTAATTAATCCATCTATGGGAATCTTGTTAGCATACAGCTAATTACTTTCTTTTTTTAATAGGTGAATGCCGTTTCGAGCAATATAGATCTCTCCGCCAAGACCAGTGGGAATAAGGTAGGTACTTGTCCATAAGCACTACTAGGAATTAATTTCTTTGAAATGATGCTATTGCTGATAAGTCTGAAATAATAGTGAAGAGACTCCTGACTGATCCAAATTTTAAGAACTATGAAGACTGAGCATGTCCGAGACACCATTTCAAGAAGTTCATTTATTTTCAGGTACTTTTGTAAAGCAGTTGCAGTAATGGTGTTCCAGGAAAGAGGTAATTATAAGTAGCAGGTAAGTTGCATTTAATTCAAGTTTGGAAAACTTTCAGGGACTGTCATGAGTTCAGTTGTTGGTTGGAGAATACTAAATTAATGCCTATACATGAGACAGAATTGCTGAATAGACCTTGAATTCTTCAGTATTACATGCACTTTAGGAATTTTATGAATTTTGATATTGTATGCAAACTAACATAGTACATATGTGCCATGTTAAGGGATCTCAAAACCAGCTGATTAAGAAGTGTTAAATTTTATTAATTTCAATTCAGAAAAGTTAAGCATAACAGGATGGGCAGTTTTTCGCATTCATTTCAAAGACAGTCCTGCCAGGGTGGTCCCTGTCATTTTCAGGTGGAACCAAATTTAGGGATGTTCACTTTTTATATATTTGATAAAAATTGTATGGGTTTCTTGAACAATTAGTACTTCTTAGAGCCTTACAATCTGTTTAGGGACCCATATTCCACTATTTCCTTCTAGTCAGTGATATTGATGTAATCCCCCCCCCCCTTTTAACTAAAGAAAATTACTCAATACCAAAAAGGCCTGTATTACATCTAAGCCTTCAGTCGAAATAAGAATTATTGGTAGACTTACATACATTGACAATTTTGTTAATTTTAGTGCATGTGCTTGCATGTCATACCTCCCTTTTCTTGGCAAGAAATAAAATGGAAAATAAAAAATTGTTTTTCTTTCCTATGTTCATATGAAGTCTGATAGTACTCAACTAGAACAGATTAAGTCAAAGAAGGGTACCTCCAATTCATGAACTGTTAAAATAACCCTTATACAACTTTCTTTGTTATTATGGCTGATCAATCAAAGTTTGAATTCCTATGGCACGACAGCAGTCTATCTAAGTTCCTGAGTGATATTTCCAGGTGTATCGGCTGAAACTTGAACACCTTCCACAATACCAACACCTGGAAATGGTCATCCAGGCTTTATTTCTCATCTTGTGTATTTCTAAAATTGATATTGTTCTTGGCAAGTGACTCTTTTTCTTGCTTTTAAAGTACTCCATATTTAGTAACTAGTGATTTCTAATACTGATTTTTATATCGTAAGGGGGAGAATCAAACATACCCATATACATATGAAACAAATATTTATATTACTCGCGACACTAATCAAAAACATTAAAGCAACAAAACAAAATACATGCAGACGAAATAATGACATACACGCACAGAAAAAAAAAGTAAACTAATACGAACGACGAATAACACTTCAATAATGGATCACACCCGTCGGCTAGCGCTCGCTTTTATCAGGGCACACGCTTTCATATTCTGTTACATCAGGTCATTTATATCCCAGTACTGAGGAGCGGGACAGCCATAGCACAAAAGCTGTCACTAGCAGCGGCAAGGTAGCGTCTCCTTCACGGTCCTGCCCCCCCCCCCCCCCCCCCCCCCCCAATCCCTTGCCCGTTGTTGTCGTGGGGGGGCTTAGGAGGCGGAGACTGGGACCCAATGATGGGGAACTCCCCAACCTTGGGACTCGGCCCTCGACTCAACTAATTATGCATGGTCTTTTTTTCCCTTCCCACTTTTGTTTCTGTCCCTTCACCAAACCCTTCTGCTATCCTCCACCTAAGGTGTGAGAGCCGTGCTGAAAGGATGAAAGGCTGACTTTGTGCCAGTCCTGAACGGCCTGAGGGAGCCATGGGGCACGGTATTCCCCTGATTTAGTTATCTAGCCCTTACCCCTCAAGGGGACCCTGAGGGGTGGACTGCTTTTATCCCCAACATAATCCAGGCTTCCCATGGCCAGTAATGAAAATATATCCCACCTGTTAGGGGCAATGAGGCTTGCCCCTTTATCAAATAGCCCCAACGAAGTAAACCCACCCGATTCCCCGACCCCAGGCTCTCCTTTGACCACGGCTCCAAACACTGCAATAACTACCCCTTCACCAATGCCTACTAGTACAGTAGCCAACAATCAACCCTCAAGGAACATTTCCACTCTCCCAGCATGCCCAACTTCAACACCTCTACCCCCACAACCTCCAACATCAACCACCCCATCCTCCCTTATTAATACCTTACAGCCTTATAGCCCACCTCTCCATAACACTACCTCCATCAACACTACTCCATCTTCGTCACGCCCTCGCCCTTCTACCACCCCTATCTCTAAAACAATCTTGAATACTCTCTTCAGTGGAGCCAAATGGGACCGATTTTTCGTGATCCCTCCCACAGCTCTCTACTCTAACAACACCCTTCTCTTCCAACAATGCCTCCAAAAACAAGTAGGTAAAGTCTCTTTCCGTAGCCGACCCGACCGCTCCCGTCTTGTAACAGTAACATCCGAAAACCAAGCCATAGCACTAACAAAACTGACCTATATGGTAACCCCATCCTAGCAGAACCCCATCCAACCCTCAATACTTGCACCGGAACAGTCTCAATCTCCCCAGCAAATTGCCCAATCTATGATAAAGAATGGTCAGATTGTGGAGAAGATCTACTTGCCTGTCTCACAGACTACGATGCAACATCAGTACAATGCTATTCCATCCCCCCCAGAGGTCATCGAAAGAAACCCACTAACATAGCCAAAATTACCTTCCGTAGACATGACCTTCCCTTTAACGTCTACATAGGAGGAGAATCCCTCCCTGTTCGTCCATACCAACCTCCTCCACGTCAGTGCCAAAATTGTTGGCGTCTAGGACACCCAGCCAAACACTGCCGTTCCACAGCCAGATGCCCATTATGTTCCCAACCTGGCCATACCCGATCTAACTGCTCTGCACAATCACGCACATGTGCCAACTGTGGCGGCCCCCATAATGTATTTTATAGGGGCTGTCCCACCTACAAATTTGAATATGAGGTAGCAACTCTCAGATTCAAACTCGGACTCACACTGCGTGAAGCCAGACAGGAAGCACGTCGACGTGGATTCTCTCTTACTCCTTACTCCAGTAATACTGCTCATCCTAACACTTCTCCTAAACCCACCCCTCCTACATCTAACCCCACCTACCTTCCCCAGTCAAACTCTTTTGCCATCCTAAATCCAGAAACTCCAATCTCTACTACAGATACTCCAATCACCACTACAACCCCAACACCTTCCCCTCTCCCTCCTCGCACTCCCCGTAACAGACAGAACAAACGTTCCACCCCCTCTTCCCCTACCACACAATCACCCCCACCATCCTTTGCCCGTACTCTTGAGACAGCAGTCCTCTCTTCCCCCCCTCACAAGAAATCCTTTATCCCCCAAAACTCCCCAACCAACTCCACAGAAGAAACTATTGAAAATATTCAAGATTACTTAATGAAAACCGACACTCAACCTACAACTCCTGCTCCTTCCACACTCCAAGTAATTGCTGATATCCATCCTCCTCCTAACGATATCCCCCCTACACCCTACCCTCCTACCCCCTCCCAACACAGCCCATTCCCCCTGACCCCAACCCTGCCCACATTAACTCTCCCACCATCCCCTCTATCCCTTCCACTCCCTCCTGGATACACACGTGAATCCCTTATGTCACAAGTATCCCCTTCCTCAGACCCTCCATCTCCTAATACCCCTCCTGATAGAACACCAACTCCCACACCTCTCCCATCTCAAACCTCTCAGTCCTTATCCCACCCTCTAGCTACTTCCCCTTCAAATTCTCCAACACGTACTACAATCTATATCACTAAATCAACGAAAGTATAACTATCCTTCATTGGAATATTCGCGGTTTCCGCTCCCACAGACCTGACCATCATATCCTTTCCTCTTATAACCCATCTATTGTATGCCTTCAAGAAACCTTTCTTATGCATACCCTTTATCTAATATAACACCCGACCTTAACCCTTTCACTCACTAATTCCTTTGCCCAGCTTAGACAACTAATCACTAACTCAACCACCCTTCACTAACATTAACTATAGTGCTACATGACCTTAGATGTCTAGCACATTTATCTTGCTTTTAACCATTAACCATTAACCATTACAACTCTACCTTTTTTCCCTCATCCTCACAGCACTCACTCGACAACCATTCCCTCAAATCTTTTGAATACTCTTTAGCCCAGGTATTTGGAACCGTTTTATTTCCCCCAACAGCCTCTTATTCTAAGGTCCCAATAAAATTTTAAATTTGCTTGTGAAGCATTGAAGCGAGATGGAATGTTTCCTCTTTCAGTCCCATATATATACTTGAACACTTGCTCTTCCTTCCTTGTCAGGGGCATTGTGGCTTGCCCCTTTGTGATTTAACCTCCCTGAAGGCAATTCTGGTTTACCTACCCGAGTTTTGGATCACGGCTACGACCACCGTTACAACACCCCTCTCATTGACTTTTGCTGTCCACTTAACCTATCCCAAATATCCTCATTTGCACAATCCCTTCCATTTCCTACCTCCTCCTTCCCTTACTACAACTCTTCAACGTTATTGCCCTCCCGTCTCACCCCTTGCCAGTTGTCGTGGGGGAGGGCGCTTAGGAGAAAAAGACAGACCCAATTCTGGATAACTCCCCTGCCTTGGCCCTCAGCCCTCGACTCCACTAATTTTACACGGTCTTTTACCCTCTCCCTCTTAGTTTCCGTCTCTTCTATCATTTACATTAAAGAAAAAGCTCTCCGCCGTCTCCGAATCTTACAAACTATCCCATATATCCTGGGGCTCAGGTCGCAAAAATCCATGTTACCTTTCACTCACTCTCGATTATGAATGCCATATCTACTCTGCCTCAACCTCTCTTCTTGCCCATCTTGATACAATCCACCACTGCGGTCTTCGCTTAGCCCTAGATGCCTTCCGCTCCTCTCCATTTGAGAGACTGTACACTGTATCATGCATACCATATCTCTCTCCGATGCTATGCTCGATTCCACCAACTTCCCCTCACTAGACTATCTCTCGATCCCTACTTCCTACCTTTGCTTCTCCTTACTCCACCCACAAGGATACCCTCCTCTCCCATTCCCCTTTTCCCCATCTCCGACCTCCCCCGTTCTGTCCATTCTGTCCCTTCATGGCTTATATCTTACCCCAGTATTTGCTCCTGTTTCCCCCGACCCACCAAAACCAAATATTCCCCCCGCGGTCCTCACCCATTTCCTCGACCGTGTCTCCAATTATTCCTCCAGTATTCACGTTTACACTGATGGCTCCAAATCCAC